TGGCCGAGGGTCCGGTGCACGGCGCTGGGGGCCCCAGCAGAGCCCCAGCTGGGCTGGCGCCTCGCTCAAGGGCTGAGCAGCTCCAGGGCTCCGTCTCGCTCTGGCCAAGAGGAGCCCAGCGGAGCTCCTCTGAGCATCCTGGGCAGGGGACGGCCCGGGAGAGGGTCACGCTTTGGAGACCTCCAGGGCCTGGCGGAGGAGCTGGCTTGGCTCAGCCGGGAAAAGGCAGCCACCCTCAAAGCCGCCGTGGGCCTCCACTGCTCCGTCCGGGATCGAACGGCAATGTCTTCAGCCAAGCTCTGCCCAGGAGAGACCACACTCCAGTGGGCCCCGGGATGGAGGAGTGCTGTGGGTGCTCCACCAGCGGCTCTTGCCCCCATGAAAAGCGAGCTGGTTTAGAAACCGCAGCGTGTGTCCTGCTTCTCTGAGCAGGGCAATTCTGCGGCGGGGCGAAATAAGGGGACTCGCCAAGAGGTGGCACTGTATGGACTGAAATGGGTCAAACAACATGGAGACTCCCGAGAAAGGCAGTGGGGAGCGTGTCTTACCCCAAGATGGAGCTTCGGGCCAGGCAGGGTACCCCGGCACTGAGACTGCAATGCTGTCCCAGAGTGATGGGGGACATTGCAGGAAGAAGAAAGATGCAGAGACTGAACGAGAGTAGCGCGACGGGGAAGTGCAAAGCCTGCTTCTTCCCTGGAAAGCGATGACACACTCAGAGCCCTGGAACTGAGCCAGGCAGCCCCCTAGGTACCATCCCAAAAGCTGAACACGCAAGCAAGCCTCGAGACAGTCCTCTAAAAATCAGAAATTACTCTCAAAGATTTCTGATAGGGATTGTTTCTGGGTTTTGATGCAATTATTCTCTGCATGTGCCTGTTTCCATGCATTTAGGGAACGCTTTCAGAAACATACTTTTTTTTTTCCAGCTTTCTGAAACGCACAGAAGTCCACCCCAGGCAGCGGTGCTCCCCTTCCCGCCCCGGCACAGAGCCCGGCAGGACGGTGCAGCTCCTTGCTCTCTTTCATGTGAACGATGCTTGGAGCTGATTTACATGTGGCAGTGCAACACTGATCTCTGCATAATACTAGAAAGCTGATGTGGGATTCAGCTGGTAAAGAATTAAAGGATGGGAATATAATTAATGCAATCAGCCTGGTTTCTGGAAAATAGCTCTTGTCAAACATTGATGTCATCCTTTGAAGAGATTACAAGTTTGGCTGATAAAGGTTATGGCATAGAAATAATAGACCTGGACTCTGTTCAGGCATGTGATTTAATCCATATAGTATTCTGATTAAAAGTCAGCACAATACAACATCAAGAGAGACACCTTAAAGGGACTGGGAGCTGGCAAACCGACAGCCATCAATGGGGAATCCCGGCAGAATGGGAGCGCTCTCAGTGGGTGTCCGGGGGTTGGATGGGAAGCCCAATGCTATTCAGCATTTCCATCAATGGTCTAGAAATAGATTAAAAAGCCCTGCTGAGAAAAATGCCGGGGCCAGGGAAATGAGAGGGGCAGGAGACACGGATGAGGTCAAGACAGCTGTAGAAAACTTCGTAAGCTGAGTCCCGGGCAAATAAAACATGGTTGAATGCGAGCAGCTGTGAAAGGATCCCTCCACTGAGCACAGGGCCCTTCTGCTGGAAACCCACGCTCTGCCAAGGATGGGCTCGGGGGGGGAGTTTAGGAGGCAGGAGGGACAGGGCGGGAGCAGCAGGCTCCCCACGGGGGATGTCCTGGCTGGGACGGGGCTGGGCTGGGCGCTACAGCAGAAGGGGTACCAACATCTGCGTTTTAGAAAGGATGCTGAGACATTAGAGAGACGGTGGAGAAGAGCTAAAACTGGCCCCTGCTTTGCAGGGGGATGCCTGAGAACTGCAGCCTCCTTGGCTAGTTCAAAGGAGCCCCAGAGATGCCTCGATTATAGCGCTTAAGCAACTTCATGGGTGACAGACAATCAGGTATTAGAGAGCTTTTATCTCCCAGAGAAAGGCCCAGCAAGATTTCATGGTCCGCACTGAGTTTGCATGAGAAACCGGAGATAGATTTCTCCGTGGCAAGGTGGGGATCGAAGGGGTGGGGGTGAGGAATTTGGGTGCACCAGGATGCAGGTGGCTGAAGTGCCGGGGCCTGGCCTGCCCCGGGGCTGCTTTCTGCTCCTCAGGGCCAGGCTGGACCTGGGGCAGTGGGAGAAGTGCTGGGGGCTTCTCTTGCACCCACCAGCTCCCGGCCGCGTTCCCCCAGCTCGGGGGACAGAGCCCGGGGTGAGGAGCCAGCTCCAGCCCAGCCAGCGGGTCCCTTCCAGCAGCACAGGATCACCGTGTGCACGCTCCATCCTCGTGCCCTGAGAAAGCGGAGCCAGCGCTGCCCTGTCCAGCAAAGGCAGCTGCCCCTTTGTGGGCTGGAAGACGCGAATTCCCCGCAGACTGATGCCAAGCCCTCCCGGTGCCTCGCCATTTTCTGGTCCTCTAGCAGGGCTGAGCGGGGCTGGGAGAGCCATGGGCTCCCTCTGGAGCCCCCTCCCTGCCTTTCACACCTCAGTTCGCCCACGCTGAGGAGC